CCCCCCCCCCCCCCCCCCCACACACACACACCAACAAGAGCTGGAAGGATCTACAGCCCCAGGACCGGAGCTGGTATCTGGGTGTGATGGGGTGGACACGGTGGCTCACAGGGCAGGTCGGGCCCAGCGTCTGCACCCATCACCCCGGCCTCAGGCCCGGACCTGCCACACAATGAGGTGGCTGCGCTCCGAGCGGCGCAGACGGGGGTTGGGCACCAAGAGGTCCCCAAATTGATCGTCCGTGTCGTCCCCTGCGAAGGGAGAGAGAGATAGTCACAGCAGCCACAGGGGCGCCCCACAACCAGCGCGGAGCATGGCCACCTCGGGGGTTGGGCGTGGGGGCTGGGTATACGGGGACCCCTCACCCGGCGCTGGGATGCAGCCCCTCTGGGGTGGGGCGCTGGGATGCGGCCACCTCTGGGGTGGGGCAGGGGCTGGTTATCCGGGGACCCCTTGCCCAGCACTGGGATGTAGCCACCTCTCGGGTGGGGCGGGGACTGGTTATACAGGGACCCTTCACCCAGCACTGGGATGCAGCCCCTCTGGGGTGGGGGCTGGGTATCTGGAGACCCCCGCAGAAGCGCCGTTTCCCACCCCCCACGAGACACGTACCGATCCGGAGGTTGATATACCCCTCTCCTCCGCTCAGCACCAAAGCCGTGGGCTGCTTCTGCCCAGCTCCCTCCTCACGGCTCTCACTGCTCACGGCCAGCGAAGAGTTAAGGCAGCCTGGGGTGGGGGAAGACAGGCTGTTACCCCAGCACCCTCCTCGAGGGAGCGCTCCCGGGCTGCAGCTGAGCGAGGAGAGAACCCAGGAGTCCTGGCTCCCAGCCTCCCCCCCACCTCCACTAGACCCCACTCCCCTCCCAGAGCCAGGGAGAGAACCCAGGAGTCCTGGCCACCAGCCCACCCTTTTCTAACCACTAGACCCCACTCCCCTCCCAGAGCCCGGGACAGAACCCAGGCATCCTGGCGGGTACCTGGGACGCAGACGAAGAACCGGACAGCATCACGGTGCCCGTGGTAGGAAGCCTGGGCACTCTCCATCGCACAGTAGGGGGTGCTGGCGGGCAACAGGCCCAGCTGGCACCCCGCGGCCGGGGGGGCCTCTGAGCGCCCTGAGAACTCTGAAGAAGGCAGGAGAGACGGGGAGGGTCAGAGGTTTGGGGGTGTGGCCTGCAGAGACCCTGCCCCCAGCAGGCTAGCTGGGGACCCTCTGCCCCCCCGCCCTCAGTTGGGCAGGATGCTGACCCCCAGCCCATGGGATCCCAGAGAAACACACACACACACGCACCTCTCCCCGCTTCACACCAGCAGGGCTGGGCTGGCCATGGGATCTGAGCCATGCCAAGCTCCCCAGCACCCCAACTCACCCGGAGCGAAGGGCACGGTCAAGACAGTGCCGCTGGCCGTGCCGATCCACAGCCGCTGGGAGAAGCAGCCCAGGGCCGAGACGTGGAGGGAGAAACCCAGAGTGTTCGGGCCTAGAGGGAGAGACGGGGGTGGTGGTGGTGGGGGGGGGTGATGAGACCCCACCCTGAGCCAGCCAGTCCCTGCCCTGGGGGTTGATGGGAGCTAGCGCCCCCTAGAGAGGAAAGGCCCCATTCCCCATCCC